TGGTGGGGAAACGTCAGAGTGTGCGGTCGTGTCCAAGAAAGAGGTGGAGAAGCGAACAGCAACGGGAGAGAGGGCAGCGAACAAACTACCGGGAAGAAGTCAGCGGCAAGTAAAGCAGCGCCGCCGAGGCTAAACTTCAGGATCTATCGAACTAAAATTGTCGTGTAGTTTCTGCCTCCTCTTCTCGCCCCTCCTAACGCAACCTACCTCCCCCTTGACCCCACCAGAACCGAACACGGCGGCAACGGCAGCATCTCGGCCGGTTGCGCCCCCTCGCTGGGCTCGAGCACCCATCCCCTCCACAAAACGAAAGCCGAACGAAGAGGGAAGAAAGCGGTGTCGGCGGTGGGGCGTCACGAGGGACGAGGAGCGTACGATCGAGGGAGAAGAAGAGATCGGAACGCGTCGGAGGGAAAGAGAGAGAAGAGAGAGAGAGAGAAAGAGAAGGAAGCAGAGAAACAGAAAGAGGAAAAGGAGAGAAAGAGAGGGAAGAGAGCGGGAATCGGAGTGAGAGGGGGTAGGCAGGGAGCGCGTTAGCTGGCCCCACGGGCGACTCACCATATTTTATTGTCGCGTTTGCCGACGCTAACCGCTGGTGTACGGCTCCGTGCCCGATCTACGAAGATGCCGACCTGACTCGACCGAGAGAAAGGAAGGGAAGAGAAGAGAAGAGAAGAGAAGAAAAGAGAAGAGAAGAGAAGCGAAGTACACAGAACACTCGGCCTACTAGTAGAGTGCGGTACGAATTCGCGTGGGTACGCGAGGTGCTGCCGGTAGTGGCATCATCAGCCACCAGCAGAGGTGGCACCAGCTCCCCCACCACACCGCGCGACGTGCCGGCCTGGACCCTCCCACCCGTCTCACCGAGGGCAAACCATCTCGCAAAAATCGTCCCCCTTTCCATGGAAGGAAAAGAACTACGGCGACGACTCTGCCACCACCACCACTGTCGAGCCGACCGTTTCTCGTCACTACCACCACCACCATCGGCACACTACCATCGTTATCGCCAGCGCCACCGTCACTGTACCGCCGCCTCCTCCTACACCGCGATCAACCGTCATCTCGAGGAACGAGGATACCAGAACTTACGGATTTCGATTGCGTTGTTCGCTCGTTCGACCGAACGCGCTACTTACAACCCACCGTCGGATTTACCATCGCCTATTTACATTCCCCGTGAACGACACACACCGATCAACATCATCGGATGTCAGTGTGATGATTTGAAGAAGTGCGCGTGTGGATCGTGCTCGACGGACGATCGAAATATATATCTATAGTCGATCGCGAATCATCGCGTCCCCTTCGTAGCGCGCGCAAAACAAATTATTCTTTCTTCACCAAGGAGTTGAAAACACGCGCCCTCCTTGTCGCACCCCCGTCGAAACACGAGTGAAAACATATACATGTACATGTGGATGCACACGCAGGCGGATCACGCAGAGGCGAAGACAGAAGTGTGAGCCGGGGCGCGTTATACACGTGTGAGCCGCGCCAGTTTGTAGTTGCTTGTTTAGAGTGCGCGCACCGATTTCGTGATACACAGCAACACCACACCACCCGTACAATCTGTGAATCAAGTCAGAAGACTGAGATCGGCAAATTTCCAATTTATCGATTGACGAAGGGAAGCAAGCAAGTTGAGAGTTTCCCTCTCCGTGGCGTGATTGCACGGGGTGCGAAGCAATCCACCGTGTGAACGTATCCTACGAGTAAGGAAGGGAAGAAAAAAGAAAAAAGAAAAAGAAAAAAAGGAGAGCGGTGTGCGCGAACAAGTCGATGCTCGCCTTTCCTTTTTCACAAACGTCGTCTCTCCGTCACCATCGCTCGAGTTCTCGACCTACCACTCTCTCCCTCTCTATCTCTCGTTTCGCCTCTTGTCCGTCCCTCTAGCGCTTCCTCTCGCTCGCTCCTCCCTCCTATTCTGTCTCGCTTTCTCATTCTCTCTCTCCCTCTCTCTCTCTCTCTCTCT